GAGCGATGGCCTCCAACTTACTAGCGATGGCCTCCAACCTACTAGCGATGGACTCCAACCTAAGAGCGATGGCCTAGCCTAGGACCACTGACGACCCCCCCCCTCCCCCCCCAGCCGCCCCGCGCAGACCGTGGAAGTGGAGCGCTGCGAGTTGGCGCCCACGCCATTGGTCCTGGCAGAGAAGCTGGGGCGGAAGAAGGCGAAGCGGTGCGGCAGTTCGGTGCAGCTGTTCGCAGCCAATCACTTGGCGGAGTGGGTTTCGGCTGAGTTTTTTTCTGGAGGTTTACTTATTGGAGTTGGGGTGGACTTGGGTAGTGTAGGTGATTTGGTCGTTCTTTGGGGTATGATCTTTTGCCAGCAATGGAGAAACTCGGAGCTGAGCAGAGCACATGGGCGCTGAATGGTGAGCTCTCATGGGTTACTAAACTTCCTGTTTTGCAGGGGAAGATGGGGAAGTCTCTCCAAGCTCTTTCAGCCGGACTTTCTGGTGGGTGTGGATGAAACTCTGTAACCTTAAAAAACAGACACCCTCGACAAATGGATCTTTCGTGCACATAGCCCGCGCTTTGAGGTTCAATATCAAAGCAATGGACCCATCAAGGCTTCTCGGATCCATTTGGTTCAGGCCTTTAGGGACATCAGCGAAAGGTCCCACGTCATGTTTTGAGGACATGGCAACAACAAAATTCAAAAATGCACGGATGTCATGAGATGTCATGAGATCTCCATTGCATTTGCCTTTCACAGTGACTTACTGCCCCCCACCCCCCCTTAGTCGCCGCTTCGACAAAAGAGCCCCATTTGCCAGGCCCAACAGTTCCTTTCGAACGCCTGGGAGCCCATTGCCAATCTCAGTGGCATCAGCAAGGAGGACATCATGTCACAAGCGCGTGGGGGGGCACCCAGAGGAGTTGAGTGTGGGGACGTTCGACTTGGGAAGTGGCGGAAGTGGCTCGGATGTTTCTTCATCAGTGGTCCGTTCGATGAGGTCGTTGACGGCTTTGAGGTCAAGAAGGATGACAAACTGCAGCAACACGCTATTTTTTTGCACCCTCAAGACGTTGCAGGCTGAAACTGTAGCTGCACTTCGACGCAGATCAAGCTTCTATGGCCGACCCATGTGTAATTTGCCCCGAGAACGCACACCATATTCAAGCAATCACAAACAAAAAGCTTGGAACAACTGCGACGATTCCACCACCAAATCCACTCTGACTCGCTAACCCTAGGAAAACCACCGTTGACTATAGTCTTTACCAAACAACCATTGTTTTACCAAGAAAAGAACGCACAGGGCATCCACCATCCGCACCTGAGGTCGTGGCGCGCTGCCCGCGGGAGTTCTGGTGTCTCAGGGTGCGTTGAGCGCTGTGCAGAAGTTCCTGGAGAAAGGCGGGGCCGTGGCGTTTGGAGAAAAGCGTTTGTAGAGATAGAGACATACGGCATCATACGGCCACCCTGTTTCATGATCATGTGTTCATGACTACTTTATGGGGGACTGAGGTGGTGGATGGCATGGCTGTGGCATGGCCCTGAGCATTTTTCCGAAGACCGCTTTTCAGTTGCATGATTGTTTCAGGAAGTGCGTAGATCAGGGATGAAATTGTGTCTATTTACAACTATTGAATAGATGGTGATCAGCTCAGGTATAGATCAACACCAAACAAACCCTTGAGTGAGCTTCTTTTTCACTCTACCTTTGCGGATGCTCATGGTTTAAAGTTGAAACCTTTCTTCAGCTTGCTGCTGTTGGATAGCTTCATCACCTCACCTCGTCAAAAGAGCTTCTGGGAAGAAGAATCGGAAGTTTGCCATGAGTGTCCGACCTTTGTCCAGTCAGGAACAGAAGATCACAGTAATACTTGCAAACATGTCAAGGAGGCAAGGAGCTTCTTCCTTTTCCGGGTACCGACGACCAATATGGGTCCTCGGAGGTCAGATGCCGTCCATACCGGGCACGGTCGGTGGCCCTCTGCCGACAGGTCGGGTGGCCGTCCATCGAACGCTCGCTCGTCGCTCGCTGGACATCTGGCTCCAAACCCGCTCGCTTTCCGCCTCTCCAGCGGATTTCCCACGGGCCTCCACGGATCGCAGCATCGACCGAGCCAGCCTAAAGCGGTTTTCCCTATGTCCGCGAGCGAGTCCACCTTAGCGGAGCTCTCGGAGTGGGATTTGTTGGAGCAAAGCTCGGCCAGTGACTGGGATGTCTGATTTTGGTTAGCTTTTTGATGGTCCAATTGGCCCCATTGGTGGCTAATGCATGCAGTTTTCTTGAAGAGGTGTCATAGTTCAGGCTGAATACCCGAAAAGAGGGGAGTGGGACTGGGGAGGCATGCGCCTTCGAACATGGGAGCTGCTCCAAGGTGATTGGGAGCTGCTCTCCAACTTCCGCTGGGCTCCTTCCACCACGCGCGATCCGCAGTCTGAAGTCGAGGATGACGCGTTGTCTGTGGCTTCGGCAGACTCTCAGTTCTCGATCACCAGCGTTTGTACAGTGCACGGATGGCCTGCCTTGGGCCCCCCTGGACAGTGGGTGGCTCTGGAAGATGGGGCTTTTGCTTCCATGAAAGAGGCCTTGCTCCATGGCGGAGGTGGCTTGGAGGGCGAAAAGGCCTTGGAGATGCAGAAAGGTCCGATCCCGAAGCGCATGGCCAGGTGCTTTGTGAATGGATATCGCCCCAGGAAGATGAAGCACTTGCCAGCCATCGATGAGGAGCTGGATGCTGATCAGGACCTGATGTTGTGTGATGATTGTTGTGTATTTTCTTTTTAAATCCAGCAACGTTTCGGGGCTCCCCCACAAAGTTTCTGGGGCTCCTCATGATGGCTGACTGCCCGATCAGGATGGGTGCAGTGAGCCTTCCAAGCACTCAAGGTGACGAGAAGTCAGAGGTGCATTGGTGCAATCAAGGCTTTTTCATGCTGAAGGACCCTATAGACTATCTCACAGGTACACCAGTAAGGTCCTACAAGGTGACTTAACCTCTCTTGGTTTGCGTGGCGTTTCCAGGACTGGTGGCTCCGCAAGGGTCAAGGCTCGTTGCTGGCGCTGCGCCGCTGGAAGTACGATCGCCGGCCCAGCAGCTGCAACGAGCAGCGGCGAGAGGCCGTGGGGCGCTTGGAGCCGACCTGGGAGTATGAAAGTGCCCTGGACCTAGTCAGAAACGGACAAGGGCATCGCTACTAGCAACAAGGGTAGCTGTAGCTAGAAGCTACTAGTAAAAAGGGCATCGCTACTAGTAGCTTCTATAGCTACTAGTAGTAATGCGCTTGTTCCTAGCAGCGATGCCCTTGTTACTAGTGACCTGGGCCGTCAGAAACGGCCCTGTGGCTCTCGGGCTTGGCACCCAGAAAATGGCAGGAGCGGACCTAGTCGATGTCTTTTGGGGTCGTCGGGGGGGGCTCCTGATTTGAAAGTAGAGGATCATGGTTGCAGCAAAAAGCCCCAGGTCCAAGCTGCATTTAGCGGAGCAAACGTTGAAATAATGGGGATGGCGGAAGTGATTGCGGCAGCCGCAGGGTTTGAGCCAGGCCCACAAAACCTGCGAATGTGATGCGATGCGAATCTCCCAGACTCTCACAGAGTACCTGCAGACCACCAACATGTAGAAACACCCAAAGGATAGACCATGATAGACCTCTCAAGAATAGTGATGTCAACAAGAGGTAACAGAAGTGAACACATGTGAGCGCTGAAGAATTTGGAGACTTCAAGCTTAAGGCTTGTTGTTCCCCTCCTTGAACTTCCCAGAAGCTCCTAGAATTGATCTGGTTTTCACAACAGTGTTTTGGGAGATTGACTTGGTGAGGTGGGCAATCTGCAGAGGGCTATTGCATTCCGGAGGAGGAAGAGCCGTTTTGAAGTCTCCCAAGCATCCCAACATGCAAAGAAGGCCGCTCCGTGCTGAGAGTTTGCAGTGCGGACGAGTTTTGGGAGAGGATCACAGCGGCTGGCGGCTGAAGCTCATCGCTTAGTTGGTAGAAGCTTTGCTTTGTATTAGAATAGGGAGATCCCGCATAAAAGAGACTACTGCTTGTCAAAAATCAATTACAGAATATTACAGACCAGAATTTGAATTCATTGGTTTGGGGGGTCTCCCATTTGGTAGAAAGCTCAAATCCCTTTGTGTCTTCCTGTGCAGTCATGCATTTGATGGCATGACTGCACGATTGCACGGCTCGGATGGGGTCGAGGACACCGATTCAGGTGGTTGTTTGTCTTGTACATAGAGTTGAAAAGCGACGAAGGACTCCTCGGAACGCATGGACTGGAACATGGACTTCTGCCCCGCGGCCCGTGTGTTCTGGAATACTTGAAACTGGACCATGGAGTAACCTCCGCTGTTTCATTTCTAGCTTCCCTTCTTTCTGATGTCATTTGCGCGTTACTGTCCAGGAATACCTGCTTCTGAGTTTGCGGAATTGGTCTTCCTTTTGGATTTTCTTACTGATTCAAGTGGAAAAGAGCTAGCGATTGGTCCAAGTGGTGATTGAACGGCGGAACACTCTGGTGATGAGTTCTCGCCAGTGTATGGGGTGTGATCGAGGGGGAGTGAGAACACGCAGCTTGTGCATCATCACATTGTGCTGTCCTCAATCAAGTTTTTGCACGTGTTTTGGTGAGGGGCGGGGGGGGGGGGCGTGCGGGCCACGTTGAGGTGTGTCGCACCACGTTGAGGCCTCTCTTTCGGTCCAGAAGGGTTGACCCATAAGATCTTACGACCCATGGGGATCCTCCGTGACGTCGACCTCACCAGGGACCCAAACGCCGTCCTCAGCCGTGGAGCCACCCGTACGGCCGTCCGCTCGGCGCCACCGGCCAGGCTACCTGTCGGCGGCGGACCTGTCGAAGCGCGACGCCATGGGCTGCAGCTGCTTGCATCGGGCGGCCAGCACCGGAGTGCCAGAGGCGCGGCGAACGGCGCTCGTCCGTGCCGACGCGTGACATGGAGGTCTGAACGGGCCGTTGGGTTGAGTGCAAAGGTCCCTGCCATGTGCGTTCTGGTGGGTCGGGTTCGGCGCATCAGGTGGCAGTCGTGGACGGGTTTCGCAAAGGAAGTGACGTGATCGTACACATGGAATATATGGAATATTATATCCCCTTTAGGGGGACCCCAACCCCACCTGGTGTAGCCCAAGGGGGATAATATCATGACTGACATGTTCCAAGACGTCGATGGAAAAGCGGAAGGATCGAGGTGAAACCGAACCATGTCGTGTCCCGCTTGGAATCGAAGGGTTTCCATGGGTTTCCTGCAGGATGGTCCGACTGCATGATCGACCGTGTGCTGTGATCGACAGCGTTTAGTTGGTGACCCTTGAAGTGATGATGCTGATGATGATGATGATGATGATGATGATGCTGGTGGTGGTGGTGGTGACACGAGATGTGGAGCACTATGAAAGTGGATTTGGATTTCCACTCTACGAATTTTGTATACACTGGAAGGGTGGGCTGAAGCTAGTGGGTGATGTGGGTGGTCGATTGCACTTGAAGGTTTTCTTTTTTGCCTAGCGGCATCTAGCGGCGCAAGGAGGGTGGTCTTCTGGAAGGCGTTGGAAGTGGAAGCATCAGAAGAGTTTGTGATGAGTCTTTACATGCCTCTACTCTTTTGAAGATTCACAGCAAAGATCTAATACAAGCAAAAGGCCGGACTGTCCATGACAAGAGACTTTCTCCTTTCAAGAGGCCTGGGGACTCCAGCCGAAGCGTTCTTTTCCTGAAAAGGATCGAGCTCATGAGCAGCGAACGTTCCATTCGCTTCGCTCGCCCCTTCGAACGACGCTGCCCACGGCCACGCACCTCTTGGAGCCACTCTCGAGCTCCGACTCACCGCCGCAGGCGGTGTGTGCGGTGGTGGAACTGGGGAAGTTCCAAGCAGAGGACTTCCTGGCGCCCTAGTGGAACTGGGAGAGGATGGCCCTTTCTTGAGGGTTGGAGGAGGGTTGGAGATGGTTGGAGCATAGATCGCCCTTTACTAGGGGACTAGTTGATGAACATAGGGGAAACCAAGCAAACAACCAATAGAACCCAATAGGTATAGATGGTACCTGGCACCGACCCCTTAGTTATTCCGCAGTGCAGATATCACTGGGTCACAGTTTTAGGATTTTTGCCCACCGGAGTTTTGCTTCTGCTTTTGCCTTTGTTTTTTGCTTGTCCTGCTTTTTTTGGCGGAGCTTTGTTTTTGAAGCGCCGCCGTCATCGGCTGCAACGCGAGGGGCTTGCCCACATCCGTTCAAATAGGCTTATTTTAGAGGGCGCTTACCAACATCGTCTCCAAAGCAATTGCAAAGACCTGGTTGCAATCGCAAACCCATATTAGCGACTACATAGCACTCCGGACACAGGTGGTTGTTGGGTGACGGGCCTATTTGGAAACGTTTTGTTTTAGAAAGATCATTGCAGTACAATACCTCACGACCTGACATGCGCGGAAGCCTTCATTTGTCAGCCTATTTCCGCTTAGTTGGCTTGACAAGCAATGAGCCTAAACGGTTTCAAACAGAATGGTACACTTATTTCATTTAAACGTGTTGACTATGATAAACATTGTTATGTACAGCAAACAAGGTTTCTTCTTTTTTTGGATCGGTAGAAATAGGCCATAAAATTTTTGTTAGTTGCGCATGATAAACTAGGGCTAAGCGCAAGATTCTTGTGAACATATCTAGTTTGCAAAAAAATCATTAAGTTTTTATGAACACGATTCAATAATTTGTAAAACTATATGAATGTTACATAGTTGCAAAAGAAAAAAAATCAATCAAACCAATCAATATTTAATAGATATGTAGTTTTGGAAAACTATTTATGTAAGAATATTGATTAGGATTTGTGTTTTTACCAATATCGTTTAAGCAAGCGTTTTGAACAAGGTTTAGTTTCAATATGGTAACAATTTCTGAAATTCTTTACTTTCTGATATAGTTTAGACTCTTTAGAAAATATACTTCAAACAGTCGAAAGAAAATCTATCTCTACGATATATATTTGCATTTGTTTGTGCTACTTAACGAATGTGCTGTATTGACACCACTAGTTATTCTGGGCAACCCGGTATGTAGTCTTAAAAACAATTAGACACAAAAATAAAGTTGTTGAATTGTTCCATATATGGACTCAAAGAAACTCTATCTCTGCAATTAAATACAATATGTAAGAGAGAGATAGGGTCAAGATAGTTATACATTGTCGATTCTCCTAATACCTCAGTGTAGTTGCTCTTGGCAAATATTTTCAGATCAATTTGAACCAAAAACTGTGGTTATATATTAATATAGGTTGTTTTTACAACATTGCTTTAATGTAACTTAACACTGTAGAACTGAATTTTATATTGAACATAATACTTTTCAGTAATACTGATCATCACAATCAAAACATGTTTTTCCTGTGAACCCCCATTTTCAATCTTTTTCAACTATATACAAAAAACGACTTTTCGTCGGATCTCCAGACAAGGTTTCCGAAACTGCGACATGGAATCGATTCTTGGGGTGTTCAGGCCGCAGACGCCCAGGGCTGGACGGTGCTGCATCATGCTGCTCGTTCGGGCAAGGGCGCCTGCGTGGAGGTGAGGATGTCCCCACGTTGTCATTGAAGGGGACAAGGAGGGGGAGAATTGCTGGGAGGAAGTTGGTGCACTAGATGCTGGTATGCTTGAAGAATACAATTTCTGGAGCCTATCATTGGCTGGGACCTTTGATTTGTAGTTATTTCCAAGTAGAACTGTCGTCCAACCAACACGCCTTTGCACTCTCATTATGGAACCTGGTCATGTGTCGATCAAGTCCTTCACGAGGACCACGGCCCTATCCACGGCCTCCACACTGATCGCCACTCGCGCGCGGGGCTGTTGGGTCGCGACCACATGCATGGCCTGCCCGTGCGCGGCAGGTGGTTTTGCTGCAGTGTCACTTGCCTCAGGACGGGAACCAGAGGAATCGGGCTCGTGCAGAAGGGTAGGAACCAACAAATTCTGTCAATGTTTTGGGTTTGAGTCGGGTATCATACTAGTTGTTACTAGTTGCTAACCTTTTTTGCACAACCCCCAAAATTCATTACAGACTGGGTTGAAAAGACGGTATGCCTACAGCATGTTGGGTCTTTGCTTGCGTGGTCCATGTCTGTAACCATCATCCACTGGATGCTTGGATGCCTGGCAGATACGGATGTATATAAAAATAGGGAGACCTCCCAAGCAACGACCTGCAAGGTTCGGGAAACGAGCCCCAAACGTGGGCCAGGGGGCCAGGGGTCTCCCATATTCGACCTTAACGTACCCAGACGCGAACCTTGGTCCTCATATGGTCCTCATATGGAGGAGTCTTTGGTCTCAAATCCCTATAGGCTTTGAGGGACCAGTCGGGCTGTTTGGAGCGTCTGGGTAGTACTGATCGGATGGACTGTTGCGCGTCACCGAGATCTGCAAGCACCCACTGAGATCTCCTGAGGGCGCAAGGAGGTGTGAGACCAAAACCGCTCCGGGCGAAGGGCCTCGAAGTAGTCCGAACAAATCCTGGATGCCAAAAACCATGGTGCGACATGAGAAACCTCCCACCACGGATGCCCAAGAAACAACACTTCTCCGAACATCTCCGAATGATTGTTTGGGAAGCCTCCCACCCCGTTGGTCCGGCCGAGGCCCACCGCTGCATGGGCCCCCCGCTCTCCCAACGACGACGGGAGAATCCCCCCCTCCCGTGGCTCATGGGCCGCGGGGGTGGCGCCTCCATGGCTCTCCAGGAGGCGCTGGGCGCGCCCGACCTCTGGGGTCGCAGTCCTGTGCACCTGGCGGCGGACGCCGACGCCACCGAGGTGCTGCAGGCCCCGCAAACGGGAACCCGTCTTCTCCGGTGGGTGCGGACGGTCCGACGTCGGGGTGGGTGGGTGGGTGGGGAGAGGTTCCAGGTGCTTTGAGGAAATGTGTGTTTTCTTTTTCTGAATGACTTCAACAGGGTCACCAAGATGTCACCTACATAATATCCGACGACTATCTTGTACATATGGCTATTTTTGGGCTTCCAGGTGGAACATGATGTCTCCTGCCAGCTTCGGCCTGGCCCTGGGTACGTCTTGTTTCTTGAATGCTTGGAAAAAGCTTTGGGCGCATGGTACAAGGCGGTGGATGATGGTGTGATCACGATAAAAGGCAGGTTGACCTGGTTTTGTTGTTTAGAATCCTGAGTCAAGCACTGGTTGTTGCGGAAGCACGATGATCTAAATCAATGATGGTTGGACGCCTAACATGAGGGGATAATATGTTCTCGTATTGTGAGCTTTCTGTCGACCAAAAGTCCGGGTGTCGGTCCTCTCTCCAAGTAAGCTTTGGGCTTGGAGAATCAGCATGCTTCATGGTGTTCAGGATGACTCGGGCATCGTTTGAGATATATCGAGTTTGAGATATATACCGTTATATACCAGGTACTTCGGTTTTGACTCCTTTTTAGAAACTCCACCTAGAAGTCATTTCTGATCATTTCATCCGAAGGAATCACTGGATCCCCAACAACTCCTGGATCCCTCCAAGGCTCTGGCCAAGCACCTCGCGCCCATGCACGCGACGATGGGACGTCCGGTGCGACTTGGGTGTTCAAATGAAGGACCGAAGCGTTTCGGATCCCTTTTTTTGGGACGCGACGGTAGGTGCGAACGAACTACAGAACGATGCGGTGGTTTGGTGCGGTGCGGTGAACGGTGCGGTTTGACGTTTTCCTCCGGATGAAGCCAGGCAGGTTGACCAAACATGAAGCTACTCGCAAAATGAGACAGGATGATCACATTGACAACTGTCCAAGGCAAGTTCACGGGCCCCTTGTCGGTGAGTGAACAAGAGGACTGACTTCTCCACTTTTCAGGTTTTGGGCACATCGGTTTTGTGTTGTTTTTTGGATGACCGTTTTTACGGTGTATACCATGTCTTCCATACGCGCCCCACGTGCCGGCTCGCGTGTATACATAACTAACTCGCAAATCGCATCGCGCGAGGGGAAACCGTTCGATGAGGACTGACAGTTGTGTGAAACGCTGGTAGGACAAGCTTGGTGGGACACTCCAACAGGGGTTGAAGAACCCTAGTTCGACTATCCCAGTTCGGTACCACAGCAGGGTCCTTCGTCAGGTCACTTAACCTACCAACCTCGTGGCTCCCGAGGTTGGAAGATGGCTTGATCACCCTGGTGCAGCCCCGAGAGATGTATGGCTTGAGCACTGGCCGCTCCAGAGGCCCCGGTCGGAGCGGGAGAGAGCGGTTGGCAGGTTCGGGCGGACGAAGAGCTGGGCGGTTCCAACACCAGGGGGGAGAGAAGACGGAGGGACGGAGGGCGGTTGGCGGGGCGGAGGGCGGAGCGGGTGCGCGGCCTTCAACATGTTGAAGGAGAGGGTGGAGAGTAGACCAGCTCAGTATGGACTTCGAGAGGAAACTGGGCCCAGCCGCCCAGCAAAAGCCAGCGTCTTTGGCCACCGGAGCACCGGGGCGGAGCGCCTGTCAAGACAGATGGATTCGCAGTGAAACAAACAGAAGAAGATGGAGCAGCTTCACGGAGGTGGACCTTGGGGAGTTCGAAACATTTTTTTGGGGTTCAGTGACTTTGTTTTGCACCTCAGCAACATCCACTGAACCATCCACTGAACCATCCACTCCATCGATGTCACTTCGCCTTAGCAACCCTTTGACCCGTTGCCAGCGGTCCAACGAAGTCCTGGACGGTCTGTGCATCTCTCGGCTCTGTCCGGCCAGGCAACATCCCAGAGGTGCGCAAGGGCACCTCCTTTGCACACATCAAGAGCTTAGGCGGCTCCTCACAGGCGCTCCTTCTGGTGGGAAAGAGAGAGGGGCAGGGGGTGGGCTGGGCGGAACGTGGAAGACGTAAAAAGTGGGTGATCAGTGGGCGAAAAGTGATGTGAGAAGGACACATTTTTCTCCACCGTTCGGTGGCAGTGGGCGTAGTGCACCAGGAGCAGAGAAGAAAGATAGTGGGGATGGGTGGTTCTTCTCTTGGTTGTTTGTATTCTTTTTGGATGTGGAAGCATGAATCGGTGACGTAGAACAGATGGGTTTGTTGTGGCTTGTCGGTCGGAATGTGACAGAAGGCTGACCAGAATGTTAGATGGGTTTCAGAACTTGACAAACCAGTAGAAATAGACATGTTCAATATTGTTCAACAGTATGATGTTGAAAGGTTGCAAGGTTAGCAACCATAGGAAACAGACCATGGATAGAAGGATGAAACCAAAGACCCGACATGACCCAAACCGAAGGCATGATCTGGGTTGACCCAGCGAACATGAACAAAATTGCTCACAAGCGAGGTCAACGCGCCGGAGGTCAACTCTGGAACCATGCGGGCAAGAGAAGTGCAAGAGCAAAAAATGACTGGGTTATATCTGGGTTTCTGTGAACACTTTGGCTTAGCTCAAACAAAACTCCAGCAGTCTTCAATGTCATTTCCTTGTATCCCAACGGGCAGAGATCTTTCAGTGCACCAAAAGAACAACCCGGGGCCATTTTTCGGAACCGACGCATACAAACAAGCGACCCGGGCGACCATTTGTTTCGGAAACCCCGATGCCGCAAACTGCGGATGGGAATGGCATTTGACTATGACCCTTGACCTGGGACTCTCGGACGGCGCGTCTCCCGCGTGCGCTGCTTGCCCACGCCCACGCCGCTCGGCGCAGGTCGTGGACGAGGATTCCGAGGAGCTCCGGGAGCTTTGAGCGCGGATGGTGCAGGGGGCAGGGGCGGAGGGGAAAGGCGTCCCCCCCCCCACGCGCGTGGGAGGAGTTTGGAGAGGCGGAGGGGAGGCCGATGTTGGATTCTTCAGAACCCTGAAGGGCAGGAGAAAGGTCTGAATCAGGTCATTGTAGCATATATATATATATATATCTATAGATTCACTGAGTGGTGCCCATTCAGGTGGGTTCCAAATTGATGCCGATCTATTGCGATGTAGCCAAGTTCGATGGCTTCGCAGTTTGTCTCGTGGCTTCTTCTTGGCGACCAAACGATGGTTCTGTCGGTGTCGGTGATCGAAGGAACAGTCAGGACTTCGTGATGTTCCTCGCGTGGACACGTGCGATGTGTGTGTTCGTGTGACTGTCCCATGCAGGATGAAGGGCTCTTCAGCGTGGGACGGGTGATTCAAGTCTTCAACAACCACCAGGTGCACATCAAGCACGAGAGTCTTGGAATGAGTGGATCCTCTTCCTGCGCTGCGGTGGAGGCCCCTGTAGCCAGGGCTCGCGGGATGTCATGGCACGGCAGCCAAAGAGGTTTCTCTCAGGTTTTTTGGACGGTGAAGAGCCAAAGACAGAGCTCCAGATGAGAGCAGATGGAAGAAGGGTCTAGCAGTCCTCTAGGTCACAATAGGTCACAATTATACGCAACATATTTTTTATATGAGCCGACAGACCTGCCTCGACCCAGAAATGTCCAGCCGGTCTATGAGGTCAGTCCACCCAGAGACTGCCTTAGTTGATTTCGGTGAGCGCAAAGCTGGTGAGAATGCTTTGACCAACGATGCCTTGGGTAGAGGCGCTTGTGATGGTTTGATTGAATTCGTCTCAAAACATTACACTCTGACAGTGACACACTGACATCGAAGTGGATGGCGTGGTCGACGGACGGAAGACGACTGTTCCACTTCCGAGTGATAGGATCCCCCCAATGCCGCGAAAGCACACGAGCTTAGATGGAGATACATGGAGATACTATTAAATGAACTATATGCATGAGATGAACAAAGACAAAGGACGGGTCTAAAGGTCTAAAGGTCTAAAGGTCTAAGAATAAGAACAAGAAACAATAAGTCGTTGGAAGGGCCAACACTTGGGGGCCATTTTTGCCTTGTGGACGAAGGGAGTTCGATGCAACGTGGTGGTGAAGGTGTGTTGAGTGACTACGACATGCTGAAACCATCCGATGTATGGACTGTAAATGCTGTACATGTCCATATTTCCACATGGAAGTGGCTCTTCCCCCCCATGCCGTGTCGCCTGCATGCCGTCTCGCCAGCTGGTTGAACTTTGCGCCTTGTGAACCGAGCGCCCTTGTGTCACACTGAGGAGCGGTTTCCGCGAGGGCTACGTGGAGTTGGAGCGCTGTACCTTCAGCCCGACGCCCATCGTCTTGGCAGAGAGGCCGCTTGGATGCTTCGGGCTTCGGATGTGTCCTGAGAAGGCCTTTGAAGTCGTGGGCTTCGTTATCGAAGACACGCCGTGTCGCATCAAGTCGCGTTGGGGCGGCGTGGGTTGCGCGTGGGCCCGTGGTGCGACGAATTCGAGGCGGGGCCGCTTTCAAGCCGTTCAGACCTTGATCGAGGCGCTTTGGGGAGGAGGTGAATCGAGGTGGAGGGCAGCTCTTCGGTGCCAGTTTCGACATGTTTCAGCTGACTTTTCGTGTGAACCTCAGCACTGGCAATTTTCCTTGTGATCTCTAGCTCAAGTGCCATCGTGTGCCATCGTGTGCCATCGCTGTGGTGATCTCAAACGATCTCAAACCTCACGGCCAGGGTGTTGGTCCTTTGTCAGAGCGTCCGTTCTCAAAGGGTTTTTAGCGCTCTAGGGATCCGGAACATCAAAGAACAGGGCCGATTGCTGGTAGTTTGAGAGCCCAAGAGTGTTTCCTTGGTTCTTGGGTCTCTACACTCTTGGTTCATGGGATCCGTTCTTGGGGCTCTACCCTCTTGGGAAAAGGATGTGGCTGAGAACAACCAAGGGCCCTCACCGCTTTGTGGTAGGGCTTGGTCTTCGATGTTCGGATGACTTGGGTGAATCCATTCGACGTGACGTTACCAACGACCAAAGTGACCAAATATCGAAAAAACCACCCCGAGGAATCACCCTGAACATCGCCCTAGTTTCCACCGCGGACCGGTGACGCCCTCCACTTTTTCTGTGACGCCCAATGGTCGTCGTTCCGAGCACCGGCCGCGTCCGGTCGCGTCCGGCGACACGGCCGCCGCGTCGCCGTTGGTCCGCCCGAAAGTGCCAGGTGGCCTGGAAGCCCTTCGTGGACTCGGTGGCCTCCTTCGCCATGAGCCAAAACTGGGAGTGGGAGGAGCCGAGCGCCCAAACTGCGGAGACCCGGGGGGGTGGAGAGGGGAGACCTGGGGACTGAGACAGGAGATAGGAAGGCGGAGATAGGCGGAGGTAGAGGGAGATAGGAGGAGTCTGGAGTCAGACTGTATAGGGAGAAAGTCGGAAGAATTGGGACAGGACGAGGCGGTTTCGAGCTGATTTGCCCGTGGAATAAGGAGAATTAACGGCCAACACACCCGATGTCATGTTCGTGTGTGGGGCTGAAGTCTTGGTTTGGGGGAGTCATGGCAAAAGAGGCTTGATTTGAAGCCAAAGCCCGATCGGTTCCATCAAAGGACACCATCAGATCCACTCGCCACTTTGCTAAGTGTGGCAGTCCATTCGTCCTACATCTCCTACATTCTCAGTCTCGTCCTCCATCTCTCATCGTCCATCTCTCGCCATCACAAAAGAGATTATGGTCAACTCTCCATTCTCATCCATTCTCCATCTCCATGGGCAAAACAGGGCAAAACATGTCAGAACAGGTCCACCCCAAGGACCAGACGATCGCACAAGGACCCTGAGGATTCACCAGTGGTCAACGACCCACCCAGCACGCGCTTGGGGGGTGTTCCACCCTGGTCCTTTGCTGCGGAGGGGAGCACCTTGCCCATCCTGCGCTGGTGCCACTGCTCCCCATCCCTACCAGGACTTGGAAGAAGACATGCGCAGTGAAGCTCTACGTGGCGCGCTGCCCGTGGGCGCGCTGGTCGCCACCAAGTCGGAGGCGCGCTGGTCGCTTCGCTTCCCGCCGCCGCCGCGAGCTGGCGAGCGGGCGAGCTTGGTACATCGGTGTTGGAGTGAAGATGAGGGGGCGCGGCCCTAGTGGGAATGAGCTTGGTTTTGATCGGAATGAGTTTGGCTGTGTCACCAATGTACCTTGGCAAATCCCACCAAGATGTGATGGATCATGGAGTGTTTCATCCGTGTTTGACGCTCCAGCGATGCGACGCAAGGGACGAAGTGAGCTTCCTTCCATCACCTCCAATGTAGCAGACTGGAATGCTTAGCTCCTTCTGAGTTGCATCTTCTCCTACAGCCAGCTGGTAGGAACTGCCCTGGTTGCTGAAGGAGCTCATCCAGGCGGAGGCGGGGCCGATGGGGCGCGTTTGGTTGGGCGCCTGGGGATGGGTGGGTACCTGGTGGTGGGGCCAAGCTGAGGATTGGTTTCTGCGCTAGGATCCAAAGTTGTGGAGTTGAAAGGTTTTTAGGGGTTGGAAAGAACATGAAAGAGCCAAGCAGTTCATTTTTTAAAACCTTTTCTATCCTTGTCTCATCTCAGTCTCCAAAAATTATGAAGTCATTTGTAATTACTTCAGTTCTTCATGTGGTGATGAACTGGGGTTCAAGTTGGGGCAGCGTGCCGTCACAGCATGTCACAGCATGTCACAGGATCACGCGGATCACGCGGATCACATGCCATCCTTCAACATGTTTTGTGCGGTCTGTGATGCTCTGTGATTGTCAGGGACCACCAGTCAAGAGTCACAGGATGTGGCATGGTTCGTGTGTAGATCTCAATGTGCCAGTCCCAGCCGCGGTTCGCCCAACCGCGTCTTAGAATGTCTTAGAGATTCTTAGGGAATCTTCCTCAGCTGCAGGTGAAGGGGGGGGGCAGAGGACGCTACGAACGGAGCAAAGGGCATCGCTGCGAACGGAGCGTTCGGACGCTACGAACGGGGCTTCTTCGTGAACCAAGGGTCCACCATGTTCCACGCTCCGCTCGTCCCCGGGATTCCGCTCGGCAAGGTGATCGCTGCGGAGGATCTGCTCCCCGGCAGTGGGAGGGGCGGTTGGGAGGGGGCGGCTTTCGAAGGCGGAAGAGCGCACAACGGATGTTGAGGGTTCTTCCTTTTTGGGCCACCGGTGTTCGAACAGGGAGACGTCCCAGTTTGACCCCTGTCAGAAGGAACATGGGGCAGTCATGGCCTGCCTGGGGCGAGAAAGGGGGTCTCCGTCATAAAATAGACACTCACCCTGACCATGGGGACTTGTAACAGTCCCCACCAAGCTCCCTATCAAGCTCAATTAAAGCATCACACAATCCCTGCATATCCCATGCGGTCCCTGCTCACCGTTTCTCACACCCAGCTCCCTCCCCATGCTTTGCCTCGCTCGCCGCGGCAAGCACCTTTGCGGCTGAAGCCACTTCGCATGGAACCTCGCTCGAAAACACCTCCAACGCCCAGACCGGTCTCGTGATCGCAGCGCGAGAGAGGCGCGAGACCTCACGTCGAGAGGCGCGAGAGAGGCGCGGCGACACACCTCAGGCTGCTTCAGGACATGCGCGGCCGCTCGGCGCTGCACCGCGCGGCCGCCAGCGGGCAAGCGGATGTGCTCTTCGCCGTAAAGGTGCCGAGCGGGGCGGGGCGGGGTGGGGCGAGCGGAGGGGCGAGTGGAGGGGCTTCAAAGGCTTCAGTGTCTAGGAGGTCGGATTTTGGAGATGAAAGAGATGGCCGAGATGGACGGACATCTGAGGACCATCGGATTTTACGGCACTTGGCAGTGACATCGTCCAGAAATTCCACATCTGCATTGAGATGCTGAAACAGTTGCAAATTCCCGACGGGTCCGATTCTGAGGTTTTGGCCGCAGGCCTTCATGGAAACAGATAGAAACCCTACACTGCTCAAGGCCCGGGAATGCGAAGCACCAAGCAAAAAACGCTGCTCCTTTCGTGCGTACACCGCGCTGCGTTGGATTTCTCAGGAGTTGGCCAGAGCCTCCAATGAGCATCTGGAGATCAGCGACATTCAGGCCTCTGGATTTGTTTTCATGCTTCTCCAGCAAGGCATATGGCTGTGTAGGGAGACCGTTTGGCCCGGGTCTTGGATGGGTTTTGGATCCTGAAAAAAATCCGAACCTTCAGGGTCGGAACGGTGGCGAACGCCTGGTCTCGCCATGTGAATCCACACCCATGCTTTAAAGCAAGGAGCTTGACATCAGTGATCACTTGATGAAGATCTCTGTTTTCGAGGACAAAAGAATCGATGGCCTCCACACAAACCGGATCACTAAATGTCTTGCTCTCTACAAGGAACCATGTGTGCAAACGTGGACCAAGTGCTACGAGGGACTTCTTCAAGCACCAACCCTCCAAGGTTGCTCAGTTTTGCTGTGACGTCAAGCTGTGGGTTGGGAAGCTGGAATCAGGGCTTTTGTCGGGACATTGCAGGAGATAAGTGTTGATCAGTTCTTTAAGTCCTGGCGAACCAACGCCAAAGACCTGGTCTTTGGGGTGTACCCAAGGATGTGGAGGAGTTGTTCATTGCAAGAAACGCAAGAAAGAGTGACTGAACACTTGCTTGTCAGGGGCACAATCTCCTACACCATGCTGTGCTCAGTGGTGATGGAGACACGGCACTTGGGCCAGCAACGGAGTTACAGCCTATAACGGCTAGCACATTTGAGTGTGTTTGGTGTAGAGAGGTACATGACAATGACATGATTTTTTGAAGCAAGACCTCTCGGTTCTCCGGGCTGGTGTCCAAAAGATTCCATTGGGGCAATGTATTCAGTAGATGGATGTAGATGGGGTATCTTGCAAAGCGGGATGCTGGAGCAACCCGCACTTGTCCCACTTTTCTCTGATCTTTTTCCATACATTTCTCCTTGACACATGTTAAGGAGCTGACTCTCTCTACCAGGTCCTTGGTGACTTGGTGCTCATCCAACTCGAGACTTAGAATTCTGACCTTTTTTTAGGGAGTTCTGACTCCATTCATTGGGGTGTCAACCCCCCACTTGACATGGCATTGATATCCGGAAGGTGTTGGTCCTTACCCTTCATAGCCACCTTCCGGCTCTGTATTCCTTTTTTTTGGCTCGCGGCTCGCTTTTTGAGCTCCGCTTGTGTTGTGTGTATTGTTGATCCCCAAGGTCTTGCGAAGGAAGGGCTCTTCCGCAGAAAACATGCACAACCTACTAGAAAGAACATAAGTTGATATATGGGATGATATATGAAATGGTGTGATCTGGTGTCAGATGATATGATATGAGTACGTCAAGAACCGTCAAGACATATTTCAAGCATTTGATGGGATGTGATATGACGGGACACGAGACGTTAAACCAACCATATGATATGGTGATACAATGCATATGATGATCATACAATGATCTGATCATTACTTCTGGGAAAAGGACCACCACACCACACTTCTCCAAGAGAAAACCATCGCTCCTGGATCGATCGATCGGTCGCGTCCATGTCCCCATCTGCGGCCGGCGCGAACCTCTGAGGTCCGCTTGGCCGCGCGGATGCTGCCCATGCGGACCCCCGAAGAGCTGGCTGCAGGGGATATGTGGCATCTGACGCCCGTGCACCTGGCAGTGTCTTGATGGGGCACTGCGGGGCTGGGGGCAAGGAGAGAGCGCAGGTGCAGGACAGGTGCAGGGCAGGTGCAGTTGGCTGTTTGGGGGTGTTGAACTGAGCTACTTGGATTTGAGTATATAGATAGAGGTGGAGTGGGCTTTCGCCGGGCCAGGCGTCTGATTCTCATTCCGCTCATTCTGTTTGATGAGGTCAAGATGAGACCCATCACTTGGGTCTGTCCCATGACCTGTAACAGTCGGTAAACAATTATCAACTTAAGTATTGTCACTGGAGAAAGGCCTGCAACTGAACCATCATCATCCACTAATACTGGGAATCGGATAGAACATCACATGCAATGGACACATGGCCATACATGTATGGCCTGTACTTGTATTTTCGATCTTCGTTGCAGGTCTCCAGCTTCGTGTGAGACTCATCCCATGGGTCATCATGGTAACTACCTGTTTGCACCCGGCCCGAGGCAACGATCAACAGCTTGGAGGCGATTAAGGCGCTCATGGAGTTGGGTTTGCCCGTGGACAAGCCTTCAGGCCGGGACGGTCGACCGTCGTGGACGTGAAGTCGACGAGCACTGCCTTTACATGTCGACGAGCACTGCCCGCGGGGGGTGGAAAAGCTTTGGCAGGTGGCAGGTGGAGTAGGGTGGGGATTGCTTCCCCAAAAGCAATCATATGGTCCCCCCCTGCCGATGATCACAAAGTGCTCACGTGCCGATCTCAAGACATGTCAATGACGCACCTCTTCGACATGGAGAGCGGGGGCTCTTCTCACAAAGGTCGATCGGATCTTGACCGGGGTACACTCCCTAGAACTAACATGGTTACGTGGAGTTCACCACCTGTTTGTAGTGGAATTCATGGTCTTCCGAACTCCGGGGCCATTCTCCACTGGTACTGTAGAGGTTCAGGGAGTGTACATCCTGGTGTAGAAGAACATCCTCTTCCACACACCTCTTCAAAGCGCCGGCTTGACTCGGCCACTCGGCTCTACCATCCTGCGGCCACCATGGAGTTACAACGATCCCCCCCAAACGAAGGGTCGATCGCGAGATCGCGCATGGCGCCGGCGGTTTCAACAGCTAAGGGTTTTGGTATTTCGGGCACTCCAAAGGCGAGCTGCGTTTCGGCCACTCCAATCCATCCTGGCATGGCAGAACGACCATCTCCAAATATATCGAACATGCTCCGCGGCTTCCCAAACGCCCGTACGGGCGTTGCTTCGGGGCCGAACCCCAACAACCACGACTACGACGGAAAGACATCCCACAAACGCGTGCGCGGCTTCGCTCCGCCGCACGCCGCGGAGGCCCCACGAAGTTCGACATCGGCGCCGTGGTGCTGGTGCAGCCGAAGAAGATCGACCTCCGCGAGGGCGACCAGGCGCCGGTGACGGGCGGGACCGCCGCGGTGTGGGTGCGGTGGGGTGGGGTGGGTAGGCCACCCGTTCACGAGGTGAAGCAGCGAAGCGATCTTGAGTGGGGACGTTTGGGTTGGACTAGGTTGGATCTCTTGCAGGTTTTCATGACTTTTCATAGTTATTATTATCATTATTTTTATTTTTACTATTACTTTTTTAAAACATATTTTTCCGTGGACTGGCCGTGGTCGAAGAAACACCTCTCAAGGCCCAAGGCGCACGTTTTCTCGTCAGACCAATTTTTAGTTCCTTCATCTTTTTGCGCTCCAGAGGTGAACATATCTTCATAATCGAAATGATTGACATTATACCTGGACCATCCAAGGAGCACTTAGAGGTAGTGTGGGGTAGTCCGGACACCTGGATGATACCAAGGACCATCATCACATCCGATGTTTTTCCAGGACCAGGAAGCACATCCCTGGCAGCTGGGCATGGTTCGGGCAGTCACCGGCAGCGATTTGACGGTGAAGTTCCCCCATGGCGGCAAGGCGCTCCGCGCCCGGCAGGGGTTGGGAGCCTCGTGGCTTTTGTATAGAAGGGTCAAGCAGGGAGTCAAAGCAGGGATAAGATGGATATAGTGAGTTTCCCAACTCCCTTCTTACAGATCAAGAACAGAGTTTTGATTGAAAGATTAAATATGACTTAGACATACTTAGACTTAGCAGGTGGTGATGTGTTTCCATAAGATTAGGCTTTGGTGGAGAGAGTTGGGAGAAGTCAGGATTTCACACATCAGAAGTCAGGGTCCTGCGTTTTGCATAGGACAGGACACCCAAAAGCACAGTCTATGTCATGTCAAAGTGTTTATAATCAATGAGACTTATAAGAAGTAGTAGCAGGGATGCCACCCGCGATGCCCCCTCTTTCGCACGCCTCCTCGCTCTGCCCCTGGAAGTCTCGCTCTCTCCGGAGCCGCCGCAGGAGACGAAGGGCATCGCCTTCGAGCGCTGCGAAGTGGCGCCCACGCCGCAAGTCCTGGCCGAGAAGCTTCTGAAGCACGCGCCTGGGACGGGAGGGATGGGGGGGGGGGGCGCGAGGGAGCGGTGGTTTGTAGTGTTTTACTTTATGTTATTTTCGTGGCATGCGTAGCAAGGGGTTCTCGTTGAACTCTGGGGGTCCGGGGGTTGTTTTGTTGTTTTTCTTGTTAAGATCTGGTTTGGGGAGGGGGAAGGTTTTTGGGGCTGTTTTTTGGGGGCATCTTCCAACTCCGTAACAGTTCTGCCGAACTTGGCTGTTTTCGATGAAAAAGCAGAGATGTTGCACAGTTGGAAGATCTAGGTCTGGGTGCATCAGGAAGCCAGGAACTTCACCGTCGAAGCAGAGGGCGGGACACCTGGACACATTTGTGGGTCCCCCCGTATGGTAAGGCATGGGGTGTTTTCATGGAAGAAACCCAGTGTCACATGGACATAGCTGGAAGATTCTTGAAGCCTGAACAGAAGCTACAAACTTGATCAATTTGTATCTTCAGATGGTCGAAGAGGTATTGCTTTCGGGTGTTTTGTCTCACCCGCACCAGGTTTTCGAGCCAATTCTCGGGGCTTGGGCTCGAATTTTCTGGGTTTGCCAAGAACATGGTGGGACACTGCGAGAGTCGGCGAGAGTTGCAGAATACCTGTTGTTATATATATATATACCTAGAACCTGAGTGACCTCTATTTTGGACCACCAACCACGCAAAAGATGGCCAAACTTCCTATCAAAACAGAGGTCAAATGGGTTCTAGGTATATAATTACCAGCACCACTCTCAGAAACTGGATGGTTATTGGATGGAACCTGAGGGAATACATCGTCAGGGTCCCGGTAGATCAAGCATCCCAACTGGACAGGTGCTGAGTGCTGTACCTATAGCGCTTCCGACAGCCTCGGGGTGCCCTGTTTGGAGACCTTGCAAGTAGTGTGGAGATATCAATTGGTGATCCCAGCTAATACATTTCAATTGGTGATATCAAGCAGTGTAAGATAGTGTAAGTAGTGTCGGAAGCAGCTGGTACATGTCTTCTTTAAAAGGTCTCCCGCGGCCGACCTGGTTCCGAAAAGAAGACGACGACGACGACGACGACGACCGGACACCCGGTCGACCGTTCCTCTTCGGACGCAGGCGGTGCATCGGACGTCTCTGTGGTGGGAAGGACTTCGGAAGGACTCCTACCAAATGGTTTCATTTTCTTTCTCAAGCTTCCTGGTTCCCTGACTGGGGGCGCCAAGCGAAAAAACGTGTCTGGACTCACAGATGGTCAGACACATGCGTCTAGTCACGTTGCTTCATGATTTCATTGGTGACTAGAGTCTTAGAGGAATGCCGCCCTTCTCCTTCTTTCCATCCCCGCAGTGAACTACCGCGTTCCATGAAGCTTCGCCCTTTGGGCTCGGCCCCCCGCGGCCGCGCGGACCCGCGGGGGAAGACCCGTCCGGTCTTCCACCGAGGATGTGGCGCTGAAGCTGCGCGAGGTGAACGACGCCTTCAACAACACCTTGAAGAAGAAGCTCGGAGCATCAGGCCCCCTGAGACCGGGTGGAGGTTGTCTGAGTTTACTGGGTGGGTTCCGGCTTCTGCCGTGTCTCGGCGGCAGCGAGGGACTGGAGGCCCGGAGGGCCCTAGGCCCTGCATGCGAACCACAGAAACAGAAGTCCTCGAAGTCGAAGCACAGACCAAGTGATTGATTGATTTCATATGAGAGTTTGATGGTTCATCCCGAGGAACACCACGATGAACAACACGACCATGTCAAACACATGGACTGGAAAGGGCAGAGCTTTCCCTAGGACCCTACAGGGGTACCGAACTCGGATAGTCGAAACTAGGGTTCTTCAACCCACCTCTGCTGGTTTTTTCCTTCGAACCACCACGCACCCAGCGCCACCCAGCGCACCCAGAGCGACGAAGCGCGGGCTCGGCGCGCGGGGGCGGCAGGTGGAAGCAAGTTTGCACAAGCGGCCCAAGCGGCCTCCGGAGCGTCGGGGGTAGTGTCTCTCATGAGACACTCCAAGGTGGTGGGCATGGAGAAGGAGGGGTGGAGGGAGGGGTGGAGTGAAGGGAAATGGGATGGGCATGGGTGGGATGGGGACGGGCATTTGATGGGACTGGCTTCGAGGAAGTGTTTGACTTGGTCAACTCTGAGAGATGTTGTAGTCTGGTCCATTTGACTTCCTGTCCGGGGTTGGAAGCCCATTCAAAGTGCAACATGAGATGAACCAATTAACTATCTCAACTCAAGCAGAGACAGATACCGCATCCTATAGCTATGTGCTACAGCCTTTCAACCTCTTGAACTTGCCTTGAATTCTACGAGAAGTTTCCCCAACCTCTTCCACCCCGTCACTGTTCAGTGGGGGGGTGGTCCTACACCACCAGGTGTGTCAAAACCCCAAACAGTTCCCAAAGGCCCCGATAACGTGTCGGCGCGTGCCATGCGCGGCGCGGAAGGCGCGGAATGCGCGGGGGAAGCCGCGCTGCGCCGGTCCCAGGAGGGCCCCAAGTTGAAGTTGGATGGACCCAAGTTGGGTCGCGCCAAGTCCAACGAGGCTCCCAGCTCACCGAAGAACGGACCCAAGAGGCGGGGTGTCCGTATGGCGGGGTCGGACCGGTTGGGAGCAGAGTCGGACGGTGTGTCATCTTGAGATAGAAAGAATTGGCAGAGCTGGCAAAGCTGGGAGAATCCCGGCCAGATGCAGTGGCTCGAGTGGCTGCTGACGAATTCTTGGCCATGAGCCTGTGTTGACGATTTGCTGGCTCCCGACTCCCCTTGCTTTCCTTTTTCCTGCGGCCTTTTGGCACCTCGAAATAAAGATTCTCAAGAAGTCTTGAAGTGCAGATTTGAAGCACGCCCAATTTCTTCTCCTAAGCTGGCCATCAAAACTGCAACCACAACATACTACAACATACTACAGTAACATACTAGTCCAAAAAAGAGGTTCCCCCTAGCAGTCACAACACGGGGTGATGTTGAGTTCCCATCCAGTGAGTGGATGTGACAAGGGCACGACTTCAACCTCCATCCCCCACCCCCATGGATCGCACCCCCGAGATCTGTGACTGGCCCTTTCACCTTCCTAAGCCCCGTCCGTCCTCATCCTCCTCGCAAAAAGGCCACGCGAGAAGGCCGCCGCGGCGCCCGCCTCCACGGCGCGGCGGCGCTTCCGGGGGGCGGCAATGCGCCTCCGCGGGCAGCGAAGGGGGGCGGGCGAAGAGTGGGTAGATGCGGGTGAGGCAGGGAATGCTGATAGAAATGTGAAGACCGAAGTGATGATGGCCCATAATGAGCAGCATGAGACATATGATAAAATTTGAGAAATTATGGAGATGTGGATTTGTATGGCGGTTTTTCTTGTGGGGGCTTGGTTGAAGGGGATCATGGGTGAATAAGACAGGTAACATGAAATTCCAAACGCAAGGCTTTTTGGCGCTTTTCAGGGTGCCAAACGCAGGTCTTTGCAGAATACAGAGGCCTCGTACAGAGGCGCAGAGAGCCCAGACCGAGACAAGCCAGCGGTTTAGACCCAGCCAGTGGAGTGGATGGGACCCATCTTGAGATCTTCCATATTTCACAGCGGAACTGGTGGGAGAGATGGAGACCTCGGTCAAACACACCCAAACTCCATGCTTGGCTGGAGTTCGTACACCAGCGATCACGTGGTTTGAAAGGGGAGAGATGGCACGACCGCACCCCGGTCTTTCGATCATTGGGGGTCCATCATTGCACCAATCCAACTGGGGGAGTAACTACACACCATCTACTCTCCATCCACAACAAGGCTTTACAGTTCTTTTTGGACCTGCTCCGACGGTGCGCCGCGCGCGCAAGGGCAAGCGCCCTGAGGAGCGTGGTGGCCAATCTTCGCCTGGCACGACCGAGCTAGCCGCGGAAACCGAAGGGCTCGGCCTGGAAGCTTTGGGAGACGATGAACGGTGTTTGACGTACTTTTGGATGTTCAAGAGATGTATTTAGATGTTTTGATGTGTGGTCCAACTCATCAGGGACGATGTTCATGGCATGTTTCGAAGTACAGAGGTGTTTTTTTCTTCTTCCACCGAATCTACACACGTGTCTAGGATCGCTAGACAGTCAGACACTCTTGCCGCTAGAGCGATTGGCGTCCTTTTCCCTTTGTGCATGGTGTCAATAGGTGTCAATCTTCCCATTCCATAGAATGTCTTTCTTTGCAAAGACTTCGTTTACGGGGCTGCTGCCAAGCAGCAGCTCCTCAATTTCAGCATCGTTTTCGGCTGTTCAAGGACGCAAAGCCTGGGGGATCCCGCCTTTTGGGTGAGAGCATGTTTTCAGGTCCAGTTTTTCAGATTAAACTATACCACACCTGTCCAGTTTTTCTGACCTGAGCGCTCAAACACTCAGTGCTTAAAATTCACTACCGCTTGACATGTCGTAGTTTGCTCCTTCTTCTCACTTTGCCCTCTATTCGCTTTCCCAGCGGGTCTCCCACGCGATCAGACCACTACATGGGGTGTGAAGACGCGGTGTGGAGACGCGATAGATCACCCAGCGGATTCGCGTGGATAGATCCCCCATGTGGAAGTGCCAATAAACCGCTCCATCCAGAGAAATGCATGTTAAACTTGCTGCAGGAGTTGAAACTTGGGCTTCAAACCCACACCAACTGTTAATGAGTCCAATAGGTCCACGCCCTGAACCCACCCAGGGCTTGGCCAGGAAACGCACATCCCAATGCTGTCCGGTATGCAACAGTGATGGGCGCATGGTTATCGGGGTGACCGCAATCAGCCTAGAACACTGGTCTCAGCTTCAGATTGCGCCAGCATTTGCGGATTCAAAGTGTCAGTGTCTAAAGACGCGTAAGGTTTGCATTCTGTTCATGTTGATCGCAAGAATCAGACACCTAAACGGTTTGAAAAATACCTGGACCCTCCAAGGGGTGTCCAATGGACTACCCCCCACTACCTATAGGCTTCCAGACAGGGCACCCCTTGGAGGGTCCTGGTATATATAGTACATGGAGTGTGTGGACTGATTTTCGGGGCATCAAGTGCTGAAAATATCTGAAAATGAGCCACATGTCCAAGCCTAACTGGCCTAACTCTTTAGGACACCAAAACCCAACTCTATACGAATCATACCTCAAGAAACACTGATCAACTGCACGTCCTTAAGCCTTCCTTCACAGCAAACGGCGATCCTCCAGGAATCGCCGTCATCGTTCTAAGACTAGCGGGGCGTCCGCTCCCACCACTCGAACGAGCCTGGGTCGGGCGGTCGACGCCGTTGAAACGGGATCCCGATGGACCCACTAAGAAGGGGTCGCAGCGGTCTGCGGTGTGAAACATGCGGGCGAAGATGGGGGGAAGCAACGTGGGTGTTAGATGGTGTTAGAGGCTTGGGGGTTGTGGTCTGAGAAGGATTGTGGGAAGTTCCTTCAGCTAGACGATGTGCTGCTACACTTCCAAACCATACCCAAAGCCTATAAATTTGCAGGGTCTCAATCGGAACCTCGGGTATTTTTGTGACATCAAAAATACATCAGGTGCGTTCTTAAAACATCTTAAAACCTCGGGTCTTGTTTTTCTAACCCGTGCAAAACCCGTATCTAACCCGTACATACCCGTACAAAACCCGGACTTTAGTACGGGTTGTGAAAACCTTGGGTTTTCTTCAGAAGCCCGAGGATTTTCCATCGACCCTACCAGTTTATAGCTGAACAATCGTACGCACCCAAACCCTTCCCACGTACTTGCAGTGTTTGTAGGCCCGTGTATACGGTCGTTTAGCTAGAAGAGTTTCATGTTGACAGGGATGCGGAATGCAACAAGTTCCTGCTGTACCAAAGGGTAGGAACACCCTGTTGCCCCAGGTAATTATTGACCATATGGGCCATATGGGCCATATGGATTTGATGGAATGAATCAGTCCAACTGCTAGCCTTGAAACCATCGCCGCTGCGTGGCCCCGATGTTGCATGATCATGGTGAATTCCACCAACAGGTGGTGAAGTCCACTTCCTTGGTTCAGGGAGTGTCAGAGGACTCCAATACAACCCTCACCGGTCGGACATAGAGAAAACAGTCCATCCAAGACCTTCATGTTCTTCTTCGAATTGTGGCCTAGGTCGAGATCTCCACACGGCCACGCCACGCCACGCCACGCCACGCCACGCCACGGCGGATCCGTCGGTGGCAGGCAGAACAACGTGGTCATCGGCTGCAACGATGGCAGCGTCGTGATGTATCAGGTGCCGACGGTCAAAACGGTCGTCGCGACGACGTGCGATGAGGACTCAGGGAGCCGCGGAATCCGCGCCGCGGAATCCGCTTCAACGATCGGCGGAATCCATGGTCATGGTCAACAATCATAATAGTCTTCAGCAACAAAAACATCAACAACAGGATCCAGATCCAGAGAAACCATGATGATATAAACCATAGAGAAACATCATCCAAATCATTCCAAATCCAAATACAAAACAAAAGAGACACATGATCCAAATGTAGGAGGAGGAGGATGAACAATCCAAAAAATCCATTCCTGAGATAGAGACATCTGATCAAATTGACTGGGAAGCACTGCCAGACACTCCATGATAACTAAAACATATCTACCGACATGCGGGTTGTTGAAAAGGGCTGAATGATAGGCATATATATGTTTTCCAGTCCCATGAACTGTCCAAACAGGCATTGAGTTGACCCCGACCTGTTTGGTCAACTCTTCCCCTGGAAAGCTCCGGAGAGGGAGATGTTCTTGTTTTCAGTTTGCGGTTTCTTTTTGTTCACGGGAGGATTCCAAGGTGTTGTCTTGCTCATCAATGAAATTTGTTGTCAAAGCACGGAAGGTTGCTCCTCCCTCAAAACTAATTTCGATCCTCTCACAGGAAAAACACAATTGTGAGTTTGCACGTGGCAAACCAAGCCACTTGACAGTATGGATGTTTCATATGTTTCATGTGTGGCCATCACGGCCCGAATATCCCATGTTTCCACCACTAGCGGTGGGCGATCGATCCGACGCCAATGGCTGAGAGAAACAGGAGCGAGATTTCGTAAGCTCGCTTCGCCTTTGAGTTCGAGAACTTCGTGAGTTTCGAGCCTCCACTCGGTCCCCTGCACTTCCGCACCAGTGTCCGAGTGACATTGGTAGCGGAGCTACCACGCTCCGGGTAGCTCCCTGCCGATCTCCGCAAAACTACATCATATCCACCTTCAAAGCCCACTTCACCTTCCACGGAAGCTGCACCCACAACCTTGTCATCTTCTTCACGCTCAGGAGCAGTGCTTACACCAGAGCTCTTTGACCTTGCTGAGTTCTACCGCACTCGCTCTCACCAGAGCTCTTTGACCTTGAGGAGCTCCACTTCCTTGTTGGACCACCGAGCTCTTTGACCTTGACGAGCTCTACAGCACTTGTGGTGACACCTCCTTCAACCTGAAGTATGGCTTCTACCACGACCACGGAAAAGAAGGTCGAGTTCGACAACCACTCGGCCCGGGATAGTTTCATCCCGCTCTTCGATGGCTCCCTAACGGGATACCGCGAATGGCGGAAAAGGATCTTGATCTACTACAGAAAAATGTCCCTGTCAAAACGGCAGGGCGAAGCGATCTTGAACCTGCTGGGCAGCCTCTCAGGAACTGCGTGGAAGTTGTGCGAAGACTTCAACCTGGACAAGGCAGAAGACCCAGAAGCTCTCCAAGAGATCTTGAAGATCTTGGACGGTTCCTTCCAGTATGACGCCAATGTCGAGATGCCTGCCGACTTCTCGTCCTATTTTGAGCATTTGGCTCGCAAGCCAGGTCAGACCTTGTTGAACTATGTGACGGATCACGATGACCGGCTGAAGCAAATCGAGAAGCATGGTGTTCGACTACCCACACAAATCCAAGGGTGGTTCCTCCTGACTAAGGCCGCCCTGACACGTGAGCAAAAGCAGATGATCATGACACAGGCCGCCTCACTTGAACGAGCCAAGATCCAGCAAGCGATGTTTGCCATCCTCGGCCAAGACTACAAAGGTGGCGGTCAGCTCCTCAGGGACCGCTGGAACCGTGCTGGATCCGGCAAGGGCCGTTCATACTTTGCTGGCGATGACTCCGAAGCCTTCTTCGAATGGGATGACAATGCCCCGACCTATGAGGAGGAAGATGATGCCTACTACATGGATGATGAAGAGAACTATGATGACCAGTGGTGGGAGTCATTCGATGCCGATGCCGCCTACTACCAGGAAGAACCTGATGAACACGAGCATGAGTTTGACACCGAAGAGTACGATGAGGCCTATGCTTCATACGTTGATGCTCGCAAACGCTTCAATGACCTGAAGCTCAGCAGAGGATTCCTTCCTGTGGTGGCTCTCCAGGACTCCGGCCCTTCATCGAGTTCCACCTCCTCGCAAAAGCCTTTCAAAGGCATGGGAAAAGGGAAGAAAGGAAAAGGCAAAGGAAAAGGAAAGAGCAGCACCTATCGCTACGACCGACCTCCTGGAAAACCTGCAGATCCAAAAGGGCGAGCTCGTGCAGCAATGGCTCCAGCATGTATGCGATGCGGCTCAACGTTCCACAAGACAGCTCAATGCACACAGACGAGCTCTACGCCTAAACCGGCAACTACTACAAGCGGCAAGCGCCAAGCGGTTGAAGGAATGGCCATCATGCAAGACGAAACGTCCTTGGTCATGCTTGAGGACTCCTTTGGCCATGAACGCCCTGACTGTGCTATGTTGGACCCTGGTGCTTCATCGTTCTTGATGGGATCAGGTCCCTTGGTCCGCTATGTCAACCACCTCCGGCAATTGGGCTATGACACCAACAAGCTCCAACTGCAGCGCTGCCATCGAGTTTTTCACTTCGGTGGCGACCACCAGAAGGTCAGTTCTTGGGTAGCCAAAGTGCCAGTCTACCTGAATGGACAACATGGACTGATCCAAGGCTTCGTCTTGTCTGGCGAAACTCCTATGTTGGTTGGAAGACCCGTGATTCGCGCCTTGGACATGACCAT